TAAAGATTAAAATACTGTACTAATTTTACCAAAACGAAAATTAAAGTACGTAAATAAAATTACCAATTTCACTGATGATTGCGAATAATATTTCCTTATTGAACCTTTGATAAATTTATCTGTTTTCAAGTTTGAAGTAGAGGAAAAATGAAACATTTTTTATCTGTGTTGGAATAAACAGATAAAGAAAGTGATTTTGAAATTTTAAGTGGAAAGTGTTTGAAATTGTTTATAACTTAAAAAGGGTATTTTTGTCTTTTAAACTATACCATATTTTTGTAATTGTATAACATTTTAATGATAATTTTGTCTTTTATACATTACAAGGCTATTGTGGTGAATCTTAAAACTTTTTGGGCAGAGTGGAAAATGGCACCTTTGACTTGGGTAAACTGAAAAGTACTTCCCTAATCTGGGAGTTAATTGTTTCAACGGTTGCTAAACTTTACAAAGTGTCACGTTTCACTCACTGAACTTTACGTTGCACACCATCACTCACTGATTTTAGTAAAACTGCACTCCATCAATCATTAGGCTGATTTCGTCTACACCGGTTGTAGATGTGGATGACGACATTGACATTTGGCCGTTAAATGACTCCAACTCGACAGCGATCGGCCATGTCATCCCCAAACATGTCTCTTCAACAGTTACTGAACTTTACAAAGTACCACGTTTCACTGACTTAACTTTACGATGCACCCAATCACTCATTGAACTTAGTAAAACTGTACTCCATCACTCACTGGGCTAATTTCGTCTACACCATTTGCAGATGTGACGACAGCGTTGGCATGTGGTTGTTAAATGACTCCATCTCGATAGTGAAGAACCATTTCATGAATTCCGAACAAAACATAACATACACGCACGCATGCACGCAAATGAAATGATAAACATTAGCCATTACAAGTACTCACATGTCTACTTATCTCATCCGAAGCGTGCCTGCCTGTATCGATTAGCTCCAAATGTCCCTCATACCAGCCCTGGAGATGGGAAGAAAATGATCAGTTGAAAAACCTGCCCACTAAGTGCTATCATCACTGTGGATCCTGGTTTAGTCCTCAAAACCTCAGCCACATACTACCTTAGTGTCCCAAATTGTTCTTTGATAGTCCCGTCAATCAGTTGTTTAGCATATCTTCTCACCTTCCAAGCTACATTTCTAGTAATATTTATCTTCAAGTCCTTCTTTATTGTAGCTTGCATACTTTTCTTTTTCCACTCTGGATCTGCCTTGAATTGCTCAAATATACCGATGGGCTATGAAAATGTAGTTACAATAACGATTGACTATGATCCCTACTACATGTATGTTGAGGCGTATATGACTTCACTTGAACCCTGTCGAAATGGAGTCATTTAACAGCCACATGTCAACGCTGTCGTCCATGTCTGCAAACGGTGTAGACGAAATTAGCCCAGTGAGTGGGAGAGTGCAGTTTTACTAAGTTCAGTGAGTGATTGGGAGCAATGTAAAGTTAAGTGAGCGAAACGTGACACTTTGTAAAGTTCAGTAACCGTTGAAGAGACGTGTTTGGGGATGATATGGCTTATCACTGTCGAGTTGAAGTCATTTAATGGCCAAATGTCAATGTCGTCATCCACGATAGAATCAGCCCAATGAGTGATGTAGTGCAGTTTTACTAAGTTCAGTGTGTGATGGAGTGCATCGTAAAGTTCAGTGAGTGAAACGTGACACTTTGTANGTCTTGTGATGGATGGGGTGCAACTTTACTAAGTTCAGTGAGTGATGGGATGCAACTTAAAGTTTAGTTAGTGAACCGTGACACTTTGTAAAGTTCAGTGACCGTTGAAATAATTAACTCCCTAATCTGGATAGGAGAAGGAAATTCCAATCGCTAATTTCGAAATCAGAACTGGAGTCCACAATTTATTAAAGTATAGCGTGTAAATCCCCAATCTATTTGTTTCACAGCTATCCCCTCTTTCATTTTTATGGTAATGATCATCCATTAAAA